TTGTGGTGGCAGGGGAGGCTATGGTGGCAGGGGAGGCTATGGTGATCCATACGGTGGAAGAGGAGGGGGAGGATACCGAAGATACTAAAATATTGTAAATATTAACAGAGTAACTGGCAAAATATAGTGGTGGTGTTTACTGGTATCAGGAATTTAGATATGTTAACTGGGTTTAGGTTAGAATTAAGTATCATCATATGAATCATTGCATTAGACCAACTGATGTTGTCATTGAATTCTTTTAGTTAACTTAACAGAACTTTTGTACTAAAGTGTGATGACTAAAGTCCTTGTTTTTCGTACTGCTCATATGGTGTTTTTTAATATGTCATTTTATTTAAAATAAGCCTCAGAAAACTGAATAAAACCCTTTCTAAACAAACAAAAAAAAAATGTTATTTGATGTTCAGCCCTCTAATTATTGCATGTTGCATGTCCAGTCCCCTGCTCCAAAATGCTGTGTAGAAAAAACAAAATAGGCCTAAGAACCGGATGGAAACACTTTTAAAAGACTCTAGAATGCTGCTTTCAGGCTTTTTCTCTTCATCTGGTTTTCATGTGGGATGTGTAAACACATTTTAATGTCAAATGTTAAAATCCTTAAGGCTTTGGTCAAAACTATTCAGTTAGTTAGGTTTCTTATTCTTCCAGAACTTTACATAAAAGTAACATTCTGAATTAATACTCTCAGAAACTAATAAAATAAGGTTGTTTTGTGTGTTCATAAAGATATCGGAGACTATTTGAAGGTCAGAGCCTATACCATAAAGTCAGAATCATGGTGAGTTTTGATAGTCTCTATTTTCATTTTACCTGTTTTCCATTTTTTTGGTGTTTCATAAAAATATGTTAAGATCAGACTGGGCAGGAAATTTCTGCAGCCATCATCTCTGGTGAGAATTCATTTATATATTCCTTCTGAATCAGCCTTGAGACATAAAGGTTGAATAAGCTGAGCTTCTTGAGAAAGAACATACCATTTCTTTTTTTCCCCCCTTTTTTTTTTTTCCCCCCCTGCCTGCTCCATGTTTGGGAATTGCCAGCTGCCCAGCTAATAAGACATCTCATACAGCAGTTGCCCTTCCTCAGTGACTCCTCTCTCTCTTACTCTGCCAACCAATTGGTCTGATAACCTAAAAGAAACTCTGTTTTGATACGGTATGGGTGCCTTCTCCTTCACAGACAGTGTTACTCTAGAAGAAGGAGTTAGCTTTCATACAATTATGGCTGTAAATACATCTAGACAAGAATTAAATTTAGAGTTGTCAGTTAAAGAAAGAGGACAGTTTCTGTTGTCCAGCGTCTTTTAGGTCTCCTCCCCTGCTGTGAGGCCACTCCCGAGTACAGAGGTGGAACAGGGAGATGACACCCAAGTGTATGCTCATGACAGTATTTATCAGGGTCAGGTTACTACAGAGAGATTCGGGAAGGCATCTGATAAACCTGGGCGTGTCTGTTGATTGCATAGCGCAGAAAACTTGAAGCACTTTGAGCATGTAGCTGTAGGCTTAACTGCAGGTTGAACTTTAGGGTTTGATTTTGGTTTTATGATGTTCCACAGTTATGAGTTCTTTCTGCACAAATTTCCTGTTGGTGTCCATATTTGGTACGCTTTAAAGGTGTTCTTTTACTTTCAGGAGCACGTGCATCATGTCCTGTTTTGTAGGCAGCTTTATGCATGGATGTAAAGCTCTGTTCAAAATTAAATTATTATAATCTCTTTCAAAAGCCTGTGTCAGATTTTATTAATTAGCCATCACCAAGCTTTTCACTTGAAATTTTAATCCAGATAAACTCCAAAAGTTTCTCTTCTGTTATTTCCTCTCTGATCATAGCCCGCTTGAGAATGCTGCTTGTGAGGTGATAGGTACGGCCTTACCCATACTTTAGGGTCCCAGCAGGTGCCTAACAAAAAAGGGCAGGAGTTTTCCTTGCTTGAACATGTTAGCTTGGATGTGAATTCTTGAAATAATGGCTTAACTTCACCCAACTGCTAGCAATATAGTTCCTTTGCCAATTTTTTTCTATGCTCCTTTCTGGCCTAAGCCATTGTCAGCCTCTGCAGTCATTATGGAGAGACCCTCATGGGTCACGTGGGAGCGTAGTACTGGTTTTCTTGCTGTTGAGCTTGGTTTTTGCCTAACGCTCTGGAATAGCTCACAAATTGACAACATACCAGGTGAGGCTGCTGGCCTTGGAGGTGAAGTGTTGGTCAGCAAAGACATGGAGAGAGTAGTTTTTAACAACCAAAGCCTTAATATAAAATTCTGTTTGCTCATCCCAATGTTACTTTTTGCTACAAGTAATTCCTGAACAGGAGTCAAGCATTTAGCTTCACCAAGGAAATATTCACCTAGGAGAATCAAATGGCTTGTCCATGCGTAACGGTTTCATCAGTCTTAAGATGTGAAGTTGCACTGGTTTAGTTGAACTGTTGTACCTGTGTATGTGGGTGTGCCGTGGTGCTTTTACACTCATCAGCTTACCCTGATGTTCCAGACAGGACATTCCAGGACAGTCTGGAATGAAGTGAACCAGCTATGTGCCCACATGCAATTCTAACAGTTAAATTATTTCAGTATCATACTTCAATTATATTTATGTAGACCATGTAAAAGATGGAAATTTAAATAGGTTGGAGATTTTGGTTTTTAATCTGGCCATTTCAGTTTTTCTTAACTAATTCCAAAACATGAAGCCAGTAGTTGAAAACTGAAGTAAGCACCACCACATTTCATAGAGGTATCCTTTTCTGTCCTGTTGACAATGTATGCTTTTAATTTATCAAAAGATGCAATAATACCGTGAAAATAATTGATTTAAACCTCTTCTCAAATTTTGTATGTTTGTCTTGAAAAAAAGTATTTTCAAAAACTCTGTTGTAAGTAAAAGATTTTCATATATATGTTTGTGAGCATTTTTGTGTTTATTCACACTTAGTCAATATCTACCTGTTAATATTGTTTTGTTTGATGAAGAATTGAAAAATAGGTTGGGGGTTTTTTTTCTGGATTTGAGAGAGACACTTTTGTTAACAGCTGTAAACACTGAGGAATAAAGTACTGTACTTGAAGTTATTTGCATCACTTGTGTAGTGTGATTTGGATCCACTATCCTATGTTCTTCCTGTGTTTGTAAAGAGGAATTCCTGCTGGTGATTTACAATAGTGATGGAACTTACTTTTTCTGATAATAAAAGATAACAGACACATTTTGACCAAAATGGAGAAGGCTGTAGATAACAATATAGGAAAATTTCAAAAGACAGGGGCATGTCACAAATAAATATATCCCTATTACATTGTCTGGGATTACTAAGGAATCTCAGTAAAGTTTTTTCTTAGTAAAAAAAAAATTATGTAGGTCAATGCGATCATTACTTCTGTCTTTATGTAAACCAAGGAACTATCCTCCAATTACTTCTGAAGTTTTCTTTATTTAATTTCTGTAATTATGAAGTAAAACACAACTTGTTTTGTACATGCAAGACTGTAGAGCAGATTTGCCCATATAAATAGGAATTGTGTTTTCAGTAGTTCGTCTGCACTCCTTGTCTCCTTCCCTCACCTCCCTCAGATGACTGAAGCTAACTAACTGAACGAACGTTCATGACCCCATATAAAAACATATTTGAGATAAGGTATTTTGAACTTTCCTACAAGGTAAAGAATAGCGAGTCTTCAGGGTGCTACAATGCTGCCTGTGTCATAGCCAGCATTAGCAGACGCCACGGAAGCCTTGTTTAAACTTGGCTATCATGCTGTGACGTCTTTTCAGAATTAGCATTCTCAACAAAAGTGAGAGAGCGTGCTAATGAAGAATTGCGCTTTGTAATACTTGGAATAGTGAGTAGCAAAACTGTCTGTACTGTGTCAACCACTAGAATACCGAAAGAATAATCTGCAAATACCTAGCTTCCTCAGTTTTCTCAGGCAACGTTCCAAGGCTCACAGAAGGTGAAGCTAGACTAGGGCCTTCGGTACTAGGTTATTCCTGCAGAAGTGTCTCAGATGTCAGAGTCAAGGAAGATGAATATAGGATGTTTAGATTTCTTTGAGATACAAACTCAGAGGCAGGAAGTGCAATTTTAATATTTTTTCTATTATAAATATTAAACCAAAATCTTACAATTTATATAAAATCTTTACAATCTGTACACTTTTTCAATCTTCTCAAACAGCATTAAAACAAAAATTTTTCAAGTTGCCACAGAGCTCAGTTACAACAAAATAACAGATTACTACTGTAACAAAAACATATTTCCAAAAACATATATAAGCTATTTTAAAGGCAGTTCTGTTTAATCTGAATATGAACAGTAGCCCTGCCTTGTTAATTGTGCTATTACTCAATCTATTTACTTTTATCTTTAAACAATCAGAATTCACACTTAAAAAATAAACAAGGGGGGGCACTTGTTTTTTCCTCCTTCTGTATGTACATGAAACAGCTGAGCCTGGAGAAGGAATAAAGGTGAGTGCTTTTCATTTAGATTAGCCATGACGATACATTTCAATATCGGTGTTTGCTAACGTTGACTTTTAAACAGCACTTAGTACTTAAATTGTATCTTTTTTCCTAGCATAAAGCAGCTTGAAGATTGATACAGATGTGAGTGATTTTCGTTTAGTAGCTTTGCCAGTTTTAGCAGTATCCCTGTAGTCAGTTTGTGCTATTAGTCTTTCATGCAGCAAAAGGGAAGTCCCAAAAGAAGTCAGAAGGGACTACCACCATAAAAAACCAACACCACCACCACCACAAAAGAAAAAAAACACCGTAAGGGGCTTTGGGCAAACAGAGACCCTGGAGGTACTTTGAGAGCTCTGAAGTTCTCCAGATATCAACTGACTTCTTTGAAGCAGGAAGTTTTCAGCGTACATGAGGCACCACATACTTGTTCTGTAAAACATTCCTGCAAACAGATCCCTTTTAAGTCATTCAGATTGTTTGTAGGAACAAGACGACACCACAGAGAAACATTAAGTTAACATTTAAGACTGAACAAATCTATGGTCATAACTCAATTTGCAGTGTTAAGTACTCAACCTAGTAACACAGTAGCCTTTGGGCCAGCTGCTGGGAATTTTCTTTTTAAATAAGAGTTTGTTCATGATCTCCACCCCCCAGCGTAGACAAAGTGTATGCATACACGCAAATTGCATTAGAATCCAGAGTTCAGACCACAAGCGAGCAGTTGTCTTAGCTGCACAACAAGATTTGTGAGTCCTAGCTGCTCTTTTGGGGTATTTTTGAAATATGTGAAAATATATTCAACTTTTATCTTGTTTATTTTGATTGTTGCAGAAACAGACTTTTATTTGCTAATTGCCTATCAGAAATACGCCTTTCTGTAGTTCCCTGAATAGAGGACAAAATCAAGAAGCATACAGAAAATGGGCAAAGCAAGTTTGCAGGCATGACCTGAGAGCCATTCTGATTGCTTCATTGATCAAAGTGCAATTCCATCTTAATTGTTAATAATTCGGGTTTAGTGTATGAGGAAAAAAAGCTGCACAATCTTCACAGCTGCTGGTTTTTGTCCTATGCATTTCAGTTATTTACAGTAAGGTAACAGAAAATCTACTACTACTACTACTATTTCCCTCCATTTGTTTTTACTTATACATGGAGATGCAAGCACAATCCAAGTTCAAAGCAAGAATTTATAATGACTAAACTGGCAAGTAGTTTCAAATGGACTTTCATAAATAAAGCATTCATATACTTGATAATGACTGTAAATTGTGGATGGAACATACATTTATACCACTTTGAACACAAAGCACACATGCTATTGTAATAGGTTGACTAAATTTCAATCTATAACGGACTTGTAACTTACAAGTTTTGAGGAGCATTAAGTGGACTTTGTAGATAAATACATCAAAGTCATAAGTTTCTGATGTTTAAATGCATGATGACAAATCCCTGTCTGATAAATGCGAGCAAGTTTTATACAACTGTAAGCGTACAGATTCTCTTGGAATGCAAATGCAATTTTAAAATTGGCTATTCTGACAAGTGGATTTATCAGTAACTTGAAAGACTGTTTTGTCTTAACAATATGTACACTTTGTAGCTTTAAGAAAACTAAGTTACCTCCCTAGCACCTTTTACTCTACAAAATTTACACACATAAGAGCATACTCATCTTGACTCTTTGCCTAAAGTGCATGTGAAATCTAGGAGAGAGAAAATGGAGAAACCTTGGTTAGAACCAGAAGATGTTAGGAGCTCTGGAGTACAACAACTGTTGCACTGGGATTACTGTACAGTTTCCCTCATAATATGGCCCTCGAGGTTCTACTCAACAATGGTGCCCACTTTGTCATGAGAGAAAAATAATCAACCGTGTCCCATATCTACCGTATGTGGACAACAACAATTTATCCCTTCAAACAAATAAGTAGGGCTAAGGGTTCCAAGCTGTGGCATGGAACACAAAAATGGAAGCAGTATTCAATGTAAACTCTCTATAGTCTCGTCTATTTTACCTTAACAGAGGTAAGCATTTGAGCAGCAGGACTTCTAAAGCTCTGAAAGAGGTTTAAAAAAATTGTCAGTTTATCTTAACAAAGTCTAAGAATCAAATATCATTAGCTTAACTACTTATTTTAATATTCTTTAACTTTGGGAATGAAGATGACAGTTCACTTCATGATTTTAATTGGTTTCAGCCACAATGAGAAGGAACTGTTTCTCTTAATGGAATATTTCTACAGTTTTACTTAAATACTCAGCTAGCTATCGAACATTTGTTTCTACAAACCTGAATTTGGGCCAAATCTGAGGTGACACAGTCTTATGAATAGCTACTTTGTCAGAACACTTGTAGAGTAAGGTGTGCTGCTGGCAGCCAAGTCACTGGGGAATCCACATGGTCGTCTTCATGAACAGAAACTTCAGCAACACTGTCACTCCTTTTAAAAGCAAACCCAGATGATACTATTTTCATTGCACAGATAATGCTAAATTACCTTAAAAGTCAAAGGAATGGATTTATGCATTTGGGAGTGTATGTTTAATATGGAAATGTGCTGAGTAAAGAGAGTATTTCTGTTTAACATCCTTCAGACTCTCTCTGCAGTTCACTTGGTAAAGCAGCTTTATCACAACCCCTCCTTCAGTCTCACATTCTTCCATAGGAGATTTCCTCTCTTGTCTGCTAGGAGCAGTCTCTGTGTTGTAGGTTGTCGACTACATGGTTTCGTCTCTGGATTGTGAGAGATTCAATTGTTTTATGTGCCTGTTCCAGTTGGATCTTTAAACCTTCATTGTCTGCCTTTAGAATATTTCTTTCCTAAACAAAACAAAACAAAAAAAAAAAAAAAGAGAGAATGGTATTTTATTTTGAATTTGTTTCAGGACTGTCTGGTGGTATGTTTAGGTTGACTGGCATAAATGTAAGTTGGTGTAGCTCTTATCAGTGGAACAGAACCAGTAACTTATTTGAACGTTTCCATAGTCACTGGTCTATCCTTTGTGTATACTCTTGAAACTTTCCAGCAGCTGGTATCTGACAGTCACGTCCACAACCTGCATTTATCCACCCTCCACTGCTCCTCTCATAACAGCAGTAATCTGGGGGAAACAAGAACACAGCTCACACTTCACTGCTCTACTAATGCAGAAATTGATGTACCATAATCTAAGACATTAATTTATAACATCAGCTGCTGTTCAGTAATTGAGGTCAGGATCTGCTGAGGGAGCAAGGACAAGTGTAGATTGTGGGACTCGCATGAATTGGACACTTCGAAGAACCAGTTCTTACAAGTTCATCCACACTTCACATCCTTGTCTGTATTGAATGTACTGTTGACTGAAAGAGAAGTGGTCTGTACTGGAAGATTCTTGCTAATTGCCTTAATCTCTGTCTTAATAAACCAATCATCTTTCATAACAAGATAAGCTCACTTTATCAATAGCAAAGGATACTTTGAAAGTTATACTGATCATTCAAAGATCAGGCTGTGGTTCTGTTGTTGGACTCTTTCCATGTTGGTCCATCTCAGAATAGTGATAGTAATGAGTGAAGTAAGAAAATAAGTCTGCCTTTGTTCCTCAATCATATCTGCATCCATTCACCAGTCGCATTGTTGATATTGTGATAGTCTCTCTAATCTGTCTGGAAAGGTGGTGTTTTCTACAAACCTGAATTTGGGCCAAATCTGAGGTGACACAGTCTTATGAATAGCTACTTTGTCAGAACACTTGTAGAGTAAGGTGAGCCACAACTGGGCTGATGCAGGTGAAATCTAGCAAGAGGCTAGATTCAAGTTCACATAGCAAAATTTCTTGGTGACTTAAAGTTATCAAAAAAAAGGAGGGATTCACTGTCAGTTAAACAAAAGCAGAGCTCCCCACCCTCCCCACCCTGTATATTTTGTCACTTAAGGGAGCAGAGGCCACCAAAAGCAGGAAGAAATTCAGGACTATGTTACTCGTTTTATGGAGTAACAGCCTGTCCTAAGCAATTGGATTATGTTCACATTCTTGCCTGTCACTTTTAAGACTGACAGAGATCAGTGTAATCATAACAAGGGCTTCAAAATGTATTCCCTAAGCCCTATACTAGTACTAAAATTTATGCCTGAAGTGAAGCATTGCTGGAGTTAAAGTGTCTAAGAATTTATGATGCCACTCATCTGGCATCATATATGTACCTGCTCAAGTTCCTGGTATGAGGGTTTACAGCTGTGATGCTCCTCCTTCATTTTCTGGCTGGAGTCCTTGTTTTCCCATTTAACATATGCCTTTTTGCGGCCTAGAATTGGGCTCGGACATGGGGATGGTGGAGCTGCCTGGAGATAAGGATTTTCTGGCATCCTATGTTCTTTCTTCTCTGTCTGCCTACGAGATACCTCACCAGCCAACAGTACGGGATCAGTCTGTGTAGCTTTATGAACCACAGCTGGTTTCAGTCTCACTGAGATTTTCTGAGCTGAGGAACCCATGAGCATAATTGTTCGGTCCTTGCTGTCTTCATTGTGTTCCGCTACTTCTCCGTTAGGAAATGTGAATGGTCCTTCTTCTTGTCCTGTAGAATATATACGGTAAATTGAGTCAAGAGCTTATCCCAGGAAAGGAGAAACAAGAGGCACAGTAATTAAACATGATTTTAATAAATGAAACAACATTTATTCTTGATTGTTTTTTCATTCATTACTCTCCAAAATTGGTGTCACTGGAAGTTTATCCGTGTTGTGCCTCTTGGAATAACTCTTGGCCCTGTCTCGGTTACATAGATATGGATCAGTAAGAGGAAAACAGGGGTACCATCAAGTTCAGTTAAAGAAAAACCTCTAGATGGCTAAGAGGTTTTATATAGACCACTGATCTTAGTGATTGGGCTGGAAGATTAAACCTGGGTGTGAGTTCAGCCTTATCACAACTTGGAGCTGTAAGATACAACTTATTTCATCCACTTTATAAGGTGAAACAATGACATTTTTAATTTTACACTGCTTTTGTATAGGTCATCCTAAAATACTTTTACTTTTGCAGTTAAAAGTAAAAACTGAGTGAGGGTGGAAAAAAAAACCCACAATGTTAGCAGCAGTGGGCAAATGATGTGATTAAAGGATTTAAAAAAGACCTGTTTCAGATAAAGTAATTTCTGTTGTTGGGAAGAAAACAAAATGAGACTGCGTGTTCAAACACATGAGGGGAAAGAACAAAGTCAGTCCAGTAGCTGCTGCAGGCTCTGGAGAATTAAATGAGGGTGTGGATGAACAGGTGAGGCTTACACCTTCAACCTAGACCTGAATTCTCATTCTTCAATGTGACACAGTGTTGAGAGGTACCACATTCTGGTGCACTGGGTAATGATGGGGCAACAGGCTACAGTTCAAGCTCTCTCTAAGCATGACATCCCACAAGGTGGTTATTAAGCAGTGCTGCAGCCATTGCAGGTGCAATCATAGAGATGCACATGGTCAGTTATCAAGAGAAATTGGCTGCATTGTGCTCCACCCAAGTGCTAATAGGAAGCCTAAGATGGAATCCAGCAGTATGAATCTTAAATACAACACAAAAGATTGATATCAAAGTGGCAAGAAGTAGATTCGAAGAACGTTAGATAGGTGAAGAGCAGGAGAGAAATTTAAAGAAAGTGAATAATGAGAGAGTTGGAACATCAAAATCAAAAGAAAAACAAAACAAAAGTAGCCTGAGGTCTTATTCAAGGACAACACTTCCTCCTTTGGAGGCCTACATGGTAATACACAATATGAAAAGTTTATACAGTTTGTTTGATATAAGGAGAAAAGAACAGAGAGGTGTAGATTTTTCATTTCTGATTAAATGAATGATGGAGTGATGAAGAGAAGTTTTAGATTCAGCTAATGAAGTGGAAAAAATAAACACAATTAGCTCTTGGTTTTCCTAGCACACACATATAAGTAAACTGGTTTTATAAGCTCCACATTGAAATCTGAGTCAGAATCGTAACAGTGCAGTAGTTGCATAATGTGACAACAGCGGTAAAAACTGGAGTGTACTGAGACCTGCTTGTCACAAGGTGGGAGAGTTAAGGGAACCTGTCAGCTGTTCAGTTCACAGCATCTAGTTCTCATGAGAGGCTGGCAGAAGATTTACTCAGTTTTTGTGGAATTCATGCACCACACATTGTGTAGTGTGACAAGAGATCTCCCAGAAATTGAGTCCTTACTTATTCAGACTAGACCTGGAATGGTGTTACTTGGTACAGGGCCACTTATGCCTGATTCTAGTTTATATGTTGGTAAAACACTGCAGTTAACTAACAAAACCTGAAATGATGCTGTACAACTCAGCTTTAATAGAAAAAGGAGCAAAGGAAAGATTATCTAGATCTGTTGATCTTTTTAATGTGATCTTTTCTCACCATGGAATTGCTCTTTGACTCCTACTGGGCAGAGGCTTGAAGCAAGAGCGGATGTTGGGCTGCTGTCTGCAACTGAAGTTTTGGGTCTTCTCTTGCACTCTATCACAACCAGGTCTTTGCATTGCTTGTGACAGTTCATTCCACAGTCTGTAAACAAAACAAAGTTACACGATGCAGTGGCTCTGTTGTAGCATCTGAGATCAGCTCTCACACTGTGTTGCCTTCCCAGGAAGCAAGAAGGCTTCTTTGATGTTCTCTACACGCATTCCCTGTAACAACATACGTCTGGTAAACAGACCAACAACAACATCCCTTTGCTATATACGCCTAAAACTCCTTTTCATTGTGAAAATACAAAATAGCAACATTCAGTCGCAACAGCATGCTGACTGTAGGAGTTGCAGAGAAAGCAGATACCTGTATGAGGTAGAAAACTGCAAAATACATGTTGTGAATGTGTTGCACGGTGTTCACAGTGTTGGTGTTTGCGCCCATTGGAATAGAAGGGTCTGTTCCCAAACCCTCTGGATTCACTGAAGATTTGCAAAGGCTTAGAGCTATCAGTTATGAGTTCCTTCATCTTTGCATTTCCTCTGGATCATCTGTCTGTCATCCTATTCTTGAATCAGCCTTCTCCTCCTTGAGAGATCAGATTAAATAGGCCCATAGACACAGCAATGGATCTCAGGATGATCAGGTTTTTTTGTCATTTGCCATCAATTACAGGTTAAAATTAACAAAGGATAAAGTATCTTACCTTTGCATCTGTATCCTTGTTTAATGACTCCCCATAGCTGAAATTCAAACAAGCAGAAAGAGTATGTATTAGTATATTTCTCTGCACATTTAATACCTCCATATATAAAAATCCACTAAAAGCTCCACACATTTCTAAGATCTGAGCACCTGCAGAATATCTTGGTTTTCTACCCTTTTAATGGTAAGGTCAAAATATGAACTGTTTACCTCTTTAGCATAAGATAAACAGCATATTTTATGTGTGTCCCTTGATCACATGCAAAACAGCTTGAGCTAGTCTCTAATGAGTACTTCAGCAGACCTGAGAGCCCCCAGAGAAGTTGTGGAGCTGGAGTAGATGGAGAATTCTCTCTCAGCACCCTTGTTTGATCCCAGCTAAACTGGGGATTGGTATGACAGCCAGTTTTACTAAATCTTTCTGTGCCATAGGCAGGGGCCATATCATGTCTGTATCAGGACATGAGTTCTAACAGCCCCATGGATTGGAAGGCTCTTGATTTGGAAGTCTTGCCTGAGACTGTCTTTGGTGACACAACCGAACACCACAAGGTAGGAGCCATGTTTAAACAGATAATAGTACTGCCAAGAGGGGTGTAAAGGGTACCTTAAATAGCTACACAGGTAGAAGCCTGATGTTCTATATAGCTTCACTGGTGTTTTATATAGATCCGTTTCTGTATATGACACAGGGTGATTATGAGATTAAAAAAAGGCATTATTCCAAACAACGTTAACATAATTTACTAAAAAGTAAGCTTACAAATCCAGCACAGTTGTCACAGAAAGTAGGCCTTAAGTAAGTGGTCTCTTGGAAGTTGTGAGCAAAGCCAAGTCCTAATTTGGAATAGATTGAGCTAGCCCTCATAAAGTAAGCTGTTATTTCATCCCTGCTAATCAGACCTTCCCTGAAAACAAAAAAGAAAAGTTGTTTGTGAGACATATTTCTTAAAAGCATGAGGAGAATTAAACATATCTTTCTTCACAATTTATAATGGCAATAGTTTCATGGGCCAAAAACTACAATGACCTCAGTAATCTTGTCAACTGCTCCCAAAGTCTACAGAAACTTATCTACACATTTAAAATGCAGCCTGTAAGGATAAACAAAATATCTGCATATTTGATGCAGCCTCAAAACTACTTCATAGAAAACCTCTGAATAATCACTATTCTATTTTTCCATGCTTTAATATGTTAAGAAAAATGTTCTTAATTGACAAAAATATACATTTGCCAATTGTCTGTTTTTGAGGGACAGGTTCATCTTAGGAAAGTTCTTTAGTAGTATATACTGAATAGCATTCGAAAAACCGTTTCTTTTTCTATTATCTGTTCTTCCTCCTACATCAGCCTGGTGACCGCTGCTGTAAGTTCATGAAGATGTCATTCACAACACACTTAGAAGATGCTTTTGCCAGTTATGTTTTCACTTCTATTTGTGGGTGAAGAGGATGATTTTACCACCCTAATGGTAGAAATAAAATTTAAAAACAAAAACCCAAAACCCCCTCCCAAAACAGATGCTACAAAGTTGATAAGCAGAACTAGGTTAAAAGAGATTTGTATGTACTCACCAGTCCTTAGCCATTACACAAAATGAGAATGGAAAACTGGCAGCTATCTTTTCAAATTCTTCCTGAGAAATGTATCCATCCTGATCATGGTCATAATTTTTGAAGACAGACTATGCAAGATAATAGTAGAATAGTTTATAATGAGGATGGGCTGAACTACCACTTTAGAAAGTCTCCACAATATTTATGGATTTCCTCTCTCACTTTCTCCCAGTACCTATTAAACAGTGCAACAGTCTAACTGCTTTTTTTTGCTTGAGACTAAAGAAGCATTATGATTTCTTGATTTGTAGCAAAAGGTAGATAAGTCAACATAGGCTGGACTAAATGCTTTACTACACAATGACAGCTCTTTTTTAGTTTCGCTTTAAGATCATTATGTCCAGGCCTACACATACAATTTGTACTAATGCTCTCAACTAGTAGTCTCAGTGATGATCTCTCTAGCCAAATCAGTGTAGCTGCCTACCTTATTTCATCAGGTCAGTGTCATGTGAAAAGTAGTTATATGACAGAATTGTCACGTAGACACCTATTTCCACTTGTGGAATGTCATTACTGTTTGTCTCTGGCCCTAAGGCGAGGAGCACATCTAGGCCAAATTTAGAAATATATTCCAAAACAGCATGTATCAAAGGATACCTAGCAATATTAGAAGTGTTTAGAAGGAAAAGAGATGAAGCAGGGATGCAAAGACAAACTCTTTACCTCTCTCTCTCTGTCAGTTTTGGAATCAATCACCTGAGCTTACTTGATGGTTTCCAGTAAAGCAAAAGAGAGAGAAAAAGCAACAGGTGCTAGTAACAAAGCCATTGAGAGGCCCACTTTCAGACTCCACCGGTAACATGATGTTGGAGTCCCTGGTAGAAATGGACTCCCTGGCTCCTTGGAAGAATGACTCTGAAAGTATACAAACCAGCATTCACACTCCCCGCTGGCTCCTCAGTCATTTAAGCAATTTCCTTCCATGCCTCACAGGCTGCTGCTGCTATTTACAGCTAGGCAGAAATATCTATTTGTGAGGACAGAAGTGCTTACAAACTCAGCACAGCTTTGAATGTGTCCAGTATTTTTTCCCTTCTTTGTGTCTTCCCATACCTAGAGACTAAGCCTACGACCGATATGTAAGGTAAATGGGCCAACCATACTTACATCTACCATTCTCTGAACATGTTTGCTGATGGTTTTTGGATCAGGTTTTGGGGCTACTCCTGAGGCCCAGTCTGCAACTACTGGTGGTCTGGAAGGTGTCAAAGGCTAGAATAAATTGAATGGAACTTCATTAGTACCACATGAAAAGATTTTCAGTATTACACTTCTTTCATTTGTGACAATGGACTATGTGATACAGGACTGCAGAAATGGCCTGTTGGATCCAACATCATACTTTTGATAATTACGTGGTACTTCAGAGTACTTCCCCAAACTGTCCAAAACAGTGGTTGTTCCTTAAATTGTCACAGTTCACTGACAATCCTGTAAATTCACCGTCTTTTCCATATTTATAAAACAGGAACAAAACTGCAATATAACACTCATGGGTTTGATCATTTGAATCACATAAGAATTCTTCATTTAAAAGAAACAGTATCAATTGCCAAGATTGAGCCTGATGTCTCTACATAAGTAACTTCATTTGTGTTTGTGTTCATGTTATAAAACCTGATATGGTGTCAACTCTCCCATATATTCTAGCTTAGGCTTCGTCACCAACCAAACAATTTATGCTTTAACAGATTTTGCTCAGTCTATAAAGCTAAAATTTAGCATAAAATAAAATAAAATTAATGCAAAGGATAAAAGTTACATTACTCATAAAAAAAGATCTTTTTGTTAAGAATCTGGAAAGGCCCTTACGGCAGCTCGGTGACTTCGTGGCTCTCGTGCGTATGAAAGCTCATAAATTTCATCTTCTGTGTAGTAAAGATCAAGGGACAGCTGAAAACAAACACAACATTAGTTTAATCCCAAAGCAGTCACTACTACTTGATATACTTGTTCCTGGCATGCATTAGTATTTTTTGGTGGATTAATTTTTAATTTAGGTTGTACCTAGAAAAAAAATGCACTTGAGCTGCACAGGTGTTCACAGTGATTTGAAATGGGTACATTTCTAAATTCCGGTCTGTTATTGCCATTATCTGGAAATCTGTAACATTACACAGCTACAGTCATTAGCACAGCAAGTGACTGTAAGCATAATTAGCAGTCAGTTAATAAGTTACCTGAAAAAAACTGTTACTCCCATAATATTCAAGTAGTCTATCATGCAACTAAGCACAAAAGCACCATTCCAATGAAACTGCCCATCAACTCTAATTCTCAGAAAACTCTTGTTTAAATATGTCATATTTATCCAATCCAGCTGTGACCATGTTGAACTAAGAAGTGTACGATGAGGATAAAAGATGGACTTGCATATATTTAGTGAGAACCTTTAACTGTCAACAGCAGTTATGTTAAGTGAGAAACATTATACCTGGATAATAAAGGACTGGATAATAAAGGAATTTGAAAAAATTATCAAATTTATACCTTTGCTTTTGCATGTGTCCTGAAAAATAGTATAGCAAATATTTTTATTGACTGGAAACAAATTTCAAGCTAAGATTGAAGACTGGTAACATGACACTTTGAATATTTACGTGAAAATATTCACACTGGACATGTGATTGAATAGAAAAGCCACATGTAAATGTGTTACAAGACTCAATCTACGGCAAGTCCAAAGAAAATATAAACTTGTTACAGCGAGTCAAGATCGCGGCAGTCATATGTATATAAACCAAGAAAACAAAATATGCTATTTTATCCAATGAATAACATTACTCAAATTGCAGATAAGCAATAACTTTCTTGTGAACAACTGCAAGAATTACTGTTGTAGTCATAATAGTGAATAATTTTAGATTCTTGGGGAAATCTTAAAGTAGTTTCTGACACTCAAAAAACAAAAATCCAAATGTTAAGATACTTCTATGAATTATTGACTTCTGTATGTAATTACTAATACCTCTTCAGACTGACTTGCCTGCTACTGGGAAAGCATATGACTAAAGGAAACAGGAGAAGGAGAAAGACTGTTGGAAAGATCAGAGAACAAACAGGAAAATTATGTGCGCCCTGGAATATTAGCAGATTAGAAGATCCTGCTTTGAAATGAAATATTTCTTTTGATTTATGTCCTGTCATATGTAGCTAATGAAATTGTGACCAAAGTTCTACATATTTGTAATAGCCATTTTTAAAAAACATTTTTTTTTTTTTTTAAAAAAAAGGGACTTAGAATAATTTGAGACAAAACATTTAAAACATTTAGCAGGAAGAAATTCACCACTTTATGTAGCTCTATTTCAGGCCCAGAGCATGTGCGCTCAATTTCACACACGAGTGCTCCCAGAGACAGCAAATAACCTCAAGCACATAAGCATTTTTAATCTATTAGCTTTTTGCTGAAACAGGGCTTGTAACCAGAAAGTGGAAGGAGCCTATCTAGTTTTTTCAAGCTGAGGTACTTGTTAAGGCCAATTGAAACTGAGAAACAAGAAAGGTAGATGTACTTGTTTTAATAAAAGGTAGTATTTTAACTTACTAGGAGAAGCTAAAACTATTGTTGTGCCATACATCCTAGGTAGTATCAATTTTGTTAGTAACATGGCACTGACTAGATATGACTGGAAGAGTAGTACAACAACTATATTTGACTAACGTTTATGTCAGACAGTTTTTTTAGTACCAGAAGAAACTTGGCTAGAAACGTGGTATGTTTAACCCTACATATCTTAAGGGACTGAACTTTTACGTGAAAGTTTGTGTGTTCAACACAAGGAAGCTTTTTATGTAATCTTCTGCCTCCAAGGTGCATGTAAGGAAGCTTTCTACCTTTCTCCCTATTTAGGCTTAATCAACAGAGGATTCAGACCACTTCCTTAGTCAAAGCACAGAGAGAATGCATACTACTATAGTGAAGCAGAAATAAACGTTTCCTTCCCTTATAGAAATAATTGGAAGCATACTGCTGAACTGGCACCTCTACCCTTGCTGTCAGATAAATCAGTACCACTAACATTTTCTCTTGTTCTATTATTGTACATTTCCTTAAGGAAAAAAAAAAATCTTACAATATTATGTATTTCTAATTAATGGAATTCTCCACTTAGTTGTTTGAGAGGTATATGGAATTATTTTTAAAATGGGGGTATTTATCTCGTCTAACAGACTTACTGTAAGCAAATGAACAAGGTCCATATTAGCCTCCAGGGGAAGCGGCATTTCCTGGAGTTGTATCAGCTCATTTATGTGGTTATACAGAGAGTATAGTTTGTATATGTTAATTTTTTTGTCCTCTAAGTAGTCTGGCATGCCCTCATAAAGTGATATCAAATCTTTCAGGTGGACCCCAAGGATTGGGATCTTAAAGTTACTGCACTCATTATAGGCTCGTCGGTAACTGTCATAATTTCTGTAAGATGAAAGCAGTTCCGTCATTTCATTAAACACCTAAAAATAAAAACAAAAAAAAAATCAAAATTGGTTACTGTTTTTGTTCTGGTCATACAGCACAAGAATTTCCCATGTTATTGTTAAGGAGTTTACTCACAATGACTCTTGAAATGGATTTTAAAACTTTAGGCTTCAAATGAAATCTCACCTCACCTCAATTCACCTCACCTAATTTAACTATCTATAATATGTAATTACAAACAGTTAATCTATAGGCTAATCTATAATGCTGGTCTTCCTACATTCCCTATTTAGTCAATGAAAAGAAATAGAATCCTCTCAAATCAAGGGGATGTGTATGCAGTTAATGCATAAGAACAACACAAGCTCTCTGACCTTCATAAAAGCAACCATCTTCACCTTAAAATGTGGAATGCACTTCTCTGGCTTCCAGGTCACCAGCTGGAACTGCTGGAACTGGAAAGTCCTGGCAGAGAAATCTTACGCTGTGCTATGGTCCCATCACAGCGTGAACAGAACTCCTACTACAGTTCAAGGTGGCACATCTGTGCGTTTAAGAAAACTTTTTTCCGATGGAAATGAAGAAGAAACAATATATTGGATTTGTTGTAAAGGCCAAATGAATCTTAAGTCTGGCAGTACAAATATTTTCCTTGTTTAAAACTATACAGGTACAAAGCTGACTCTTAACATTATAAAATCAATAGGCCAATGTTTTCTTGTGGAAGTTCCTGTCTAACCCCTTGATTTTTAACCTTCACAAACTGTTACCGTTAAACTTTAAAGTATGTTCTCAAGTCACTAATTACCAGCCTTTATTTACCTGCTTTCTATTAGCGCTTGTATACAATTTCTTGATGCAACAAGTTATTCAAATGATGGGCACATATGCAGTCCACTCCTCATGACAAAATTTGTAAAACAACGTGCTTCTAGAATAAGCTTGCTAACTGGTTTTATAGATCCCGAGAGCTGCAACCGTTATCAGTGGGAGGTCATACTTCTGGTCTATACTCCAGGTATGCCCTGTTCATTCAAGCTGATCATACTGTGATCAAAACAGGTTCATTAGATAGCTATACAAAATCTTTCAGGCCCCAAACAAAACACAGCATATTAGTCTCTTAAGAAGAAGTCTCTTAAGAAGCCACTTCATTGCTAAAAAAATATGTTTTCCTTCACAGTTTCAGTAGCTGGAATCTCAGCGAAAAATATATCCATCTGTATTTCACAAGAATTTAGTTGGAAATTACAGCTGATTCCTAACATTCCACTGTATTATAATGTGTGTGTACTAGGGCTAAGTTTGTTCATGTCTGAACTAGATAAAATCTGTCATAGGTAAAGATCAGGTGAACAAAACCAGTCCTTTCAGTTTTAAACTCAAAGTGCAGAGGTCTGTGCTAGCATTTCATAGACTCAGGATGGTCAGTGTTGCTATGGATGACAATAGTTTTGTTCTCAAATGTTCTAGGATCCAATTGTCTGCTTTCATGTTTGGATGCTATTCTGTACTACTGCATATACATGAAAATGCAGCTTGTCACATCTGAGTATTAAGAGAAACTTTAGAGAAAGTATACAAATCTTGAAGAAAGGTGGGGTTGGAAGTGTAGGAGTAACTGGTGTCATAGAGATGAAATGACAAAGAAAAACTCTCCAAAACCAAAGGAAGTCTTCCTTTTTCTTTTTTCCTGTCTTTCTTTCCATCTTATCTAATGAAGTAAGGGGGGTTTTGTGTGTGCAATGACACAATTTTACAAATCCTATTTGTAAAACTTAGAGGAGCAATACCAACCTTAATTACATCATGAGGAACACATGAGCTTGTTTCCTTGAGTCTGGAAATGGAACTGTGACAGAGCCCTCCTATCACTGCCATTAATGTATTGAAATTCTGCAGCTGGTGGAGCTTCTGTGTTGGCATACAAGAAAATCAGTATTTATTATTTAAAGGTTCAAGTTGTTCAATATGCACATCCAAATTCTACATTTCCTCTATTGTCTTCCTCTGAAGTTTTACAAGTTTTGTGCCACTATCCATTTGACTTCATTCATTTCAGTAATGAGTTGTGATTTTACTGGGTGTAACGTACTTATTCTACTGTTATTAAATCAGATATTAATTCTGCAGATACAGTAAGTCTTCAAAGTACTTCTCCCTCTTCCCACAGTCTACCACAATAGGCAGGAAACACTGCCTATTATCTTGGTTATGACTGCAGTTGAATTAGTGTGCAAAGAATACCAATAGGACCGTAGCTCTGCTCCTATCCAGTAAGGCATATCTGGTAGAATGCTTATAGCCAAAGGCATGATAGTAGTTCATGATTTGGAAAGGTAGGCAGTCACAGCTTGGAATCTCACTAGCTGATTCAAAAGCAAGTCTAGTTTTTCAGTGAAAACAATTTCTTCAGAATGGATATGAGAAAGTCATTACAGTGCCTTCAATGGCACCATATCTGAATGCTTGGTATGAAACCACAGCACACACAAATATGCATGCTGTATGTATGAATCAGGAGACCAGTGCCAACTCTACCAGCTGACCCTACAGTAGTAGTGTCGGAAGGGCAATTCCCAGATGACCCTACAGTAGTAGTGTGGGAAGAGCAACTAAAGAGCTGTATCAGGGAAAGACAAAATAAACAAGAAGCATGTCAAAATTTAACTGACCTGAGCAACATGAATGAACTTGATGAACACTTCAGCCCGAAGCTGTGGTGTTGGTCTGCTGAGAACCATTAGCTGCACCCACTGAGAGATACCATTGCAAAGAGCAATTGATCTTTCCATTGTTGGATTCTCCTTCACACAACTATTCACAATGTAGTTCTGATAATCTGAGAACTTAAAAAAAAAGTTTAAATGAAAACTCATCTACAGTTTCATGTACCTCATGAACTGTGTGCAGATACAGGTCTGCTTTTCAAATGAAATATACAAGATGTATTTTACATCCTAAATATCCGTAAGACTGAAATCTCTCCTTTGTCAAAGCTTTGTTCAGTTCAAAGCAGAAGGCTTGAACTAATTGAATTAACTGAAAGCATCTTTTTGCCATAATTTGTATCACATCATTTGCATCATGTATATCTCAGGAGCCTTGGCTCTTATAAACCCTAGGATGAGTAGAATCAGGGCTTTCCTCCCAGCCTCTGTGGCTCCATAGATTCATTGAATCTAGGCTTCTACAGGGAAGGTTAAACTGAATTTTAAGTGTAATCTAGTTACTCAGTGATAGTTTAAGGAAGTTAAGTGTTCAGTTTGTGTAGCTAGGGCACACTTCTGAATTAAGCTACACTAATACAAAAAGCAAGTTCAATGAGATTAATATAAAACCGAGATAAGACCATTAAGAATGAGGGTGACAGATTCCTTAATATTTTTAATATAGTTTGTGAAATTCTCTTATTTAACAAAAGCAATCTAAAATTCTTCAGTAGACACCTGTATGTGACAAATAGATTTTTTTAAGCCATTCTTCCCATTAAGATGAAAGAGAAGCAACCCTTTGTTTTTGCTGATGCAATGTTTATCCAGTCTCTTGATTTATCCATTAACAAGAATACACGAGAATTTGAATCATCAGAAAATGTGACACAGGATTTATACATCCATTCTTTACTATGACCACTAATACTAAAATCTTACCAAAAACATTCATAGCTGTAATAGACACATACTCCTTTCTTAAGGCCACAGGAGTATGCTGAATGGCATTGATCCTTAAGAAAAGGTCATAAATTGTCAGGCTGCTGTTTGTTTCTTGCTCTCCCTCTCTCACTTTCTCTCCACTTTTTAACTTTTTCCATCCATTTAATAAGAACTATTAACACTTTAAAAAGCAGATATGACAGCAGACATCTTTGGATTTGTCCTCTTACTAAATTAAAAATGGAAGAAACATTAACAGTTATTACCGTAGAGCTGTCTCTGAGATTACATAGTACTTACAATTATTGTTTGAATTTTGAACCCCAGCCAGATTTGTCTGGATCTTGAAATTTAAGCAACTACTCTATAGAGATAGATAATTTTTCAATTTCTGACTACATAATTATGGACTTCATAACAGTTTCAGTACAAGTATGAATCAGTTTGATTAGTTTATATTTTGTTCTCAGCAGCTCTCTCCTTCAGAAAAGATTTTTTTTTAAATGCTGAACAAATTTATACCTAACATACTACTTAAAGTTTTGAAATAATTTTGGTGCAAGAATTTATCATTGAGGTCAGCTGTAACAAGATTGTTAGTGGCAGATACAGTAAAGAAGTCCAGGTACTTAAATAACGCAAGAGTCTGGTATTGCAATGACTAACTTATGAGCCTCAACAGGAAAGCAGAACCCAGATTCTTACAAAAGAGTGTAGCCTCCCTGTATTTTATAACTACAAATCGAAATGGTTTCCAAACACCAGCGTACCTGCAGTCATTACTCTGTGAACACCACTCTGCATTTTTTCTTTCCTGCAAGATACATGGTGTCTCATGGAAGATTTTGCTGTGTGCTGTATATGTTCAGGGGATCAAGTATTCCTTTCTGACTTTCAAATGACTGAACCTATGAATAGTTATTCCAGTGACTGATAACACAGCAGGTTATTTGCAGCCTTTCTCCCAGTATACGCTGTCATGTTAGAATAACAAAAGGATTCTGTGGCTTAGCATACCATGAACACATTCTGCAAAGAGTTAATGAATATAGCTATTTATTAATTACACGTTATTTTCTGATCTGAGGTTTCAGTAAACTCAATTTATACCAAAACATATGCAGGGACCCTGCATACAAAATGTATACAAGTATGTAACTGTTGGAACTCTATGACACATCTGACGCTCTGACTGCTGTCATACTTGTTATGCTCATTAATTACTTTATGTCTGCACAGAGCTTGAAAATATTAAGAGTTATATAAGCTTTGCATATTATTACTGCCTACAGGCAGCAATCTGTGCATGGCTTTGGTTCTATGGCTTTTTGAATTTAACACAAAACATGAAGTCATGTACTGTCAGCTCAAAATAAAGTATACTAACACACGACTGTGAAATCTTCCACAATCTATTGAGAGCCTCTTTCCTTGCAAGACTTCATCTTCAAATTATAGTTTAAAAACAAAACAAACAAACCCCCCAAAACCCCACACACTAAATAACCAAAACAAACAAACCCCCCTAAAAACCGCACTTTGCTTTCACTGTTATCATCACACTGACTTTGCAAGCATTTTAGATTTTGGTCTCTAATGTTCACTTTTCTTTTCCATGTGTGAACTGTATCAGGTTTGAATAGAAGTAATGTTTTAGCATACAAGGATGCAAGTGAAGCCAAGGTGCATAGGGAAGTTAACATCTTATAGGCTACCAACATAGCTGAGGAAACAAATCAAATGAAAGAAAACATAAAGGAGATAAATCCTTAAGAATTGTTTGTGTACTTGAAAGCTTGTCTAATAAAACATTTTAAACCTCCCTTACATTAAAACCAGCATTTTCTCAAGTGTTTTCTTATCCCTAGTCTTTATTTTGTTATGCACAATCAAAAATGGCAAGCAGAGTCCAGTGGACACCTTCTATACAGACAGTCCATTAGTCACTGCACAAGAATGCTGAACTGTTTCCTACAGCCACAGGACGTTAGCATTCTAGGAGAATATTCCAAGTTTCCTTCATCCCATTTCAGCCTGATTACCGATTTGAGTCAAAGGAGGCTGCTTGTTCCTGTGCCCAATGACACCACTTGTTCTAACAAAAAAAGATTATTTGGATGAAGATCAAAGGGTTTACTCCTCTTCCTTCCAACTGACCTTGCCCTGACTCTGTTCCACAGTTACTTAAAAGGTTCACTCTCACTCTCTCAAATGACCGCAGCAAAAGGGTATGTAGTCCAAACACTAGTAAAAGAAAAAGTCTGGACTCAGACTCAGCTTGTTCAATAGCTTGCACTGCAGGGTTAATCTTATAGTACTACCCCTCTCCCATCTTTTCTACTCCCTTCCCATCTTTGTTTTAAATAAATAAATAAATAAATAAATAAATAAATAAATAACACTTACTGATATTCTTCTGAAAGACTTAAATTCAAGATAGGTAAGGTGGTCTGACAGCTCCTCTGGCTCAAGGTGATCAAAAAGAAGCGAGACTTTCCGTTTCTTACTGGTGTTGGCCTTTACACGCTGTGTCAGCTTTCTAGACCAATCCCTAGAATTTCTTTTAGATAAATTTTACCATCTTTGTTAAATAAATAAATAAATAAATAAATAAATAAATAAATAACACTTACTGATATTCTTCTGAAAGACTTAAATTCAAGATAGGTAAGGTGGTCTGACAGCTCCTCTGGCTCAAGGTGATCAAAAAGAAGCGAGACTTTCCGTTTCTTACTGGTGTTGGCCTTTACACGCTGTGTCAGCTTTCTAGACCAATCCCTAGAATTTCTTTTAGATAAATTTTAAAACAGAATTACCCTGAGATATTTTCTGAAGAGCAAACTTTTCCTCTCCCCCAATACAAAAATAACATTGTTTTTATGCCTTACTGCAATAAAAAGTGAATTATTTGAATTTCTAAATAGCAAGCTCCTTTCATGCATTAGAGATTATATGACAAAGCATTATTGTTAGTCTTTAAGTATTATATTGATGAAGCACGTAACTACAATACAACTAGATTACTAAACAGCATGATATTATATATTGCACTTCCAGAATTGCTCTCCATAACTTTGTCTTCATTGAACACATCCAGTGCTCCTCCATTTAATAATTCTTCCAGATTTCCTTGACCAGCCTCCAAGTATGAACTGTCCCCCTATGCCATTCACCCCTGAAATTTAACTGGATTTGAAAACTAAATATTGTCTGTCGTAACCAGATATAAAACATATGCCAAATTCTGCTCTGCTTTTGCCTGTGCATTTCCAACTGAAGTGTGAATTGACACTGTTACACAGTTCCACAGAACTATCTTACTCTCATACAAGAACAAGGAAGGTTCTCTTCCCAAGAAAGAACTATGTGATGTATAGCGGTAGGATTTATTCTTGACAGGACAAGTAATTTTATAACTAAAATCACATAAAATAGTATCAAGAGTTTGACAGTGTAATAAACTACATCTTCTCACTCACCTTTGGTGTTAAAAATATAAACACACTTTTTTTACCTCATCTGTTATCCAATCAAAATGTATTCTCCTTTATCATTGACTTCAAGTGATCTTCCAAAATCATTAGGCCTCTACAAATTTTCTAAGTTCCCTGGATAGAGTAAAATTTATCTAGCATAGAGAATCAGCACAAAGTCTACACAGCAGTTAAATGCAACCTAAGCCATTCTTGAAAGGCATTCTGTTCCTCAACATATATTTCATCTATAATGATGTATAAACTCTTCTAAGGTTAGATAACATATGACTTACTAAAATTAACCCACTATAGGACCATTATCCTGCTATACTGGAGAGACATTACATTTGAATAAAGGAAATTCAGAGCAAAAGTTTGTTTTCTGAGCATTTTGAAACTTTGGCACTCACATTTGAGTTGTGTCAATTAGGCGACAGTGTAACTCCTCACCATTAGTTTTAACCAGTTCTTGAAATTCCTCCATAGTTGTGGATAGTTTAGAGTCCATTTTGAACATAACCCAGAACTCTGTAATCCAATACCTATTGCACATTGAAAAAACAGAAACACAAAAATAAAGGTTTTGCTCTAACATCAGTAAGGCTGAAATTTAGATTGTACTGTAGTTGTATTTCTTCTTGACCAACTTCAGGGCAAATCTTGCTTTTAGATGCTTTTGCTAGGCTACCTTGATTTTATCAAAAATCAGAATTTCAAGATTAAAAACGAATTAGAAACTACCTGGCTTAATGCTGTATAGTACTATATTACGTATATGTTTTCAATAAATTCAATATTAAAATTTGTAGTTTCATGTTAAATCTAGATAATATGCATGCTAATTTTTCTTCATGAACTTCTAGGTGATTTTATATATTCCTTTAAAACTTGAAATTATTTGGTCTGGACATCAAAAAAAATGCACTATGCTTTTCAGAATTTTACCTATTAACTGAAGAAAAATTTACTAACTAAACATATTTAATAGTTTACAGGTGATTGTCTCACATGCACAAAATATTTTCAGAGAACTACACTTTTCTATGTTGGGCATTCAAATTGTTTCAGTCATATATTTTATATTTCAAATCCTATATGTGACTTGTCACCCATTGTGGTGGGTTGACCCTGGCCAGCAACTAAGTACCCACCCAGGTGCTCGCTCACTCCTCCCCACCCCGCAGCAGAATGGGGGAGAGAATAGGAAGGGCAAAAGTGAGAAAAATGTGTGGGTCAAGATAAAGACAGTTTAATAACTGAATGAAAGAAAAAAGCCAAACAAACAAACAAACAAGTGATGCAAAGGCAATCACTGACCATCTCCCACAAGATGCCCAGGCAGTATCCGAGCAACAGCTATTTTGGAATGACTACCCCCCAAGATTTTATTGCTGAGCATGATGCTGTATGGCATGGAACATCCCTTTGGTCGATTCAGGTCAGCTGTCTTGGCTGTGTCCCCTCCCAACCCCCTGCTCACCCCCAGCCTACTCTGGGGGGTAAAGTGAGAAACAGAAAGTCTTGACGCTGTGCAATCACTGTTCAGCAATAGCTAAAACGCTGGTGTGTTTTAGTCACAAATGCCAAGCACCGCATCATACGGGCTGCTATGAAGAGAGTTAACTCCATCCCAGCCAGACCCAGTATACCCGTGCATGTAAAAATCTGTGCTTGTTGGAAAAATGGAAATGCACATTCTTATAGATGCATGTATGTATGAATTTGCCTAGAAGCAAAAATGTTCCCAGATCACATACAATACAAAGCATTCTGACCTAACCAATAATCTGCTTTGAGATAATAAAATCATCACCATTTAAAACAAATTTTACTTTTCTGTTACTACTTCTTTCCCATTTTGTGTAAAAAAACAAATATCATATGCTAATCTATTATCAGAGTTGCACCTTTTTTCCCTCTCTTCTGTTATCTCTAAACTAAGATATCGATCTATATTATAGTTAATTAATTTAAAAAAGTGATCCAGGATCATTGCAAGTGACTGAGTAGAATTACTAAGGAGAATTACCTACCAAATACAATAGAGTTTTGCTTAATATAAAAATAGCTGCAATATCCCACTTCATTTTTTTTAATAGACCTATATAATAATGTTAGACACAATGCTACCAATTCCTAAGCACTGTCAATTTTCACTGATGTTTAAGACACAGACTCATACAGACTCAGTTCAAAACTGTGACCCGATAATTCATGCACTGACTTCAATGGATCTGCACAGAGCTGCTTGGGCCTTTTTGTGTAAAGCTGCTATAGTGGACCTTGAAAAGCTGAAGCAGTATAGCTGTTTCTCTTTTTAATGTCAGCTTAAGATATGTAGAAGCATTCTTATGTATGGCACGTGGATAGCCGCAGACTAATAGCTACCAAGCAAGAATATTCTTACCTCACAAAATAGCATATCTTTACACACAGCATGGAAGATTTATTTTCTAAAGCATTAAGATAGGTAGAAAACTGTTAAGGAAAACCACATCGATTCACATATGATATGAAATGTAACATGCTTGATACTTCCCTGCCTGTAAGCAATAGGAATCATTCTACTGATGGCATATAATATCAGATTAGGGTTTTACACAAGTATATACAAAGTATATCCCAAGATCGTTAACAAAAGCTTATTGTAAATATGACTACTATGAGTAATACTGATGTAGCCGCCCAAGTACTGAGTAGTGTTAAGTAGTGAAATAATTCTGCTTTCTACATGTTTCTTTGCAACATGCCTCACAATTTCTAATAAAACTCATGCACTTGCACTTCTCACTAAAATGTGAAACAGTAATACGAAATTTATCAACTAGTGTTTTTATGAAGAAATCCTTTTCAGTTAATTATGATTCACTGGAGTTTTTCCAAAAAAGGTGCTATTTTCTTTTAGACATAACCAGTTGTATACAATGGCAGATAAAAATGTGAAATGCCTCTCATTGTTAACCTCACCTTTCTAACTATGCAGCAGTTTTCATTTGACTTGCTGTGATAACTGGAAAGAAACACCCATATTTTTAGTCTAGTAGCTCTATAAAACATGTTTTGATAGTGTAGCCAATGTCTTTTGAAGACATGGAAAACCCATTAGGAAAATGTATTATCCATATCTTGATTCTTCTGCTGTAGATTACACAAATATTTTCAGTTCTACAAAACATAATTTAATGAAAATACCTCGTGGATCCTCCCACAATCTGATTGAAATTAACTGCAGCCTAAATCTACCGCAAATGAGGGGACATACCATCCACAATTCCACAATTTAAGCACCCATATTAAGTGCTTAAATTAGGCCACCTATAGACCTAGTGAGGTCTGAATAAGTTCCCAAATATTTTGAAGGGCCCCAAACAGAATGTCTGAAGTTAGACGGCTTACAAGTCATCTATAACCATCCAAAATCACTCATGTAATTTAGGGGATGGAAAATGGTGAAACTGGGACACTTGCAAGGTTTTTCAAAATACAAGAGCCCAGACGATCTGATCCATTCAAAACAGCCTTTGCCTTTCAATGTCTTTACAGGGAGCTATACACAGAGTCAAAAATCAAGCTTGCAAAATATGCAAATCTGATAAAAGTTTGAATCACTTCTCTGACTGTAGAAAATGTTACTTCTCAGAAACACGCAAGCAATTACTTTCTTCCATTTTCAAAAAGCGCATGAGTCTAAGTCAAATGCAACACCACACCACAGTTGTGGCTTAGCACACTTGATCTAACACTTGTGGTAGATTCTGACTGTCCTGCTGCTTCTCTAACCACTACAGTAAAGCTCTGTTGTAAATGATGCTGCTTTTAAAAGCCAGTAAGATACAGAGTTTGGGGGAAGAAAGGATTATCTAAATTAAATTGTACCAAAATTGGCTGGAGATTCTTAGCATGTCACGTCTGCTTCCTGTATTGTGCTCATCTAATTAGGAGTAAACATTCTGTAAAGCTAAGTCGTCAGGTAATATATTCCTCAATTAAAAATTCCTAAGAAAGACTAGTATTGCCAATATGATCTAGTAGCTTCGTTGTGAAAAATCTATTGAGGCAGAAACACACATGTATGAGTCCAGGCAGTCACCTCAAAATGGGAACAAATAGGAAGGAAAAGCTTATGATTTATTTCAGTGCACTGTAATTTTGAGTGTGTGAGTGAGAAATAGTATTTGTTGAAAATGTTCATCTCCAGGTGATACAATCAGAATATTTTCAAAAATTTCACTTTTTTTCTTTGCTCTTCTACTTGTATGGAGGACAGAAAGAGAAAGAGATCTGAAACTTAGGCCCAGGTTCACAGTACCTAACTGCGGTGCCTATGTTAATCTAACACCTGCTAGATATTCTCTCCATGGCCAATGGAGGATGATTCATCCTACTTAAAATCTGAATTGGAGTTTCATTTTTTTCTCTGTGGATGATAAGCTAAACCAGACAAACAAAAACCCCCAACCCTAAACCAAACAAAAACACACTCTACAACCAAAAACTGTAAAGAACAAGTATATTGTTTAACTAGTGGAACAGTAATACACCCATGGATTAAACATCCTCTACTTACCCGTTTCAAAGTTGTCAAGTTATCTAATATTACCTTAATAGCAGGTGAATATTACAAAGGATATAGATCAATGAGTTTCTGGAGCATGTCTGCAGAGGAGATGACAAACTGATGCATGGCCAGAATTATCTTTAGCAGCTGGTTGTTTTGATATGCATTTCCTTCTAAATCTGAAAAAAAAGAAGGAATATTTGTATTGAAAACTTGGTATACCTTGGTAAGCAACTTGCAAGAGGCTTTTTTCAAAATACTAATTCTAATCAGGCCTGTTCACCTATGCTATTTCAAAGATAACAGTAACTTACTAACTTAGGAAGTGCATCATTTTTCTGATGAGAGCTATATAACAACAACTATATTTCACTACCACAATTTGGAAGACCCTTATAAAAAAAAAAAAAAGGCAAACAAAAAAGCATGTTTCCCAAAAGCACTCAAAATATCCAGATAATTATACATAATGGTCTCAACCCAGCAATGCACTTAAATGCTTAGCTTTAAGCAGATGAGTATAACCTTTGAAACAAATTAATGAATTGCGCAGCAAAAGAATTCAGTTACTGATCCATATCAGTCAATCAGTGGGATGACTGAACTTATCAAACAGAATGGTGATATTCTTAAGTGTTTGTGAGGCTTTTTGTACAGCTGAAGTACACTGAAGTACACTGTGTAACACTGAAGTACATGCACAGGTTAGGATCTATACCTAGATATGCATGGAACGATATAACGTATGCAGAAGCGCAGAGGTTAACTTATGCATACTCCCAGTGGTGGATCTAAATGTCCTAACACATTTCCTTGAACTATGCATTACAAGGATTTCACTTGTTTTTAGACTACATCTATCTTCTGAGTCTTGTGGGGTTTTTTTCCATATTCAGAAAAGATCAAGGACATCAAATGTAGCAGAACATTTTAAAAAGTTTCCATTTCTGTAACAAACACAGCAGTGAAAGTGTTTGTAAATATTAACAGATGATGTTTTTCTACTGCCTGCCATGAGAGAACCTAAGTAGCTTGAATTGGAAATAGACACCTTTTCAAACACAAAAGAAAATTTACCTTTTTGAATAATTTTAAATACATTGTCCTCCATGAGGATAAATGTAGTTAACACTTAAAATAGCAATAACAGGACCAATATACAGAAGCAATGCATGATAAGGCAAAATGGAAGAGGTAGGTGAAACAGCAGGTTTGCAGCATGTGAAATGGCATCTATTACTAGAGGGCGAAAAAAAAAAATTTAAATTGCACAACACCAAAAAGGAACATTAAACTTAGCCCACTTGCAAAACAATATAATCCATGTTAATCATTGAGCAAGAGTTTCCATGCCCTTCTACAGGAAGGTACCAAATGTGAAGAGAGAACCCCAAATCCCAGGCCTTTCCTTTTGAACAATACATTGGATCTTTGGTAGAACTAATAAAGCCTGATTTCCTCTAGATCCGTCTTCTCTATTCTTCACTCCACAATAGTCCTATTCATGCCTTTTATCACTATACTCTCCACTGAAAGTCTTTTCCTTCTCTTCCCCACAACAATGCCATAACTCCTCACTCATGCTTAAAGCTATCAGCTACACAAAAGTAATACATGCTGCGGTTGAATCCAGGCTGACTGGCCGGATAGCAAATCAAATCAAACCAATACTGGGCTCACACAGCTGCCCCTGCACCTATGTGGGCACTGATCTGGATGTCTCTCTTCTACATGAGCAATTCTTTGAGATTCCTATCTTTCCATCAAATTTAGTTTAAGCTGGCAGACAGGCTGACTCTATTTCATGCAGAGTAGACGTAGTTCAGTGGGAAGGCGACCCAGAATGGCCTAGATCTGTAGTTTACAAGTGAAGTTATTGTTTTAGCTGACTGTTTGAAGCCCTGAAAGCAAAGGACATGATGGGTATCATATACCTGGTGTGGGTAACTTCATTCTTCTAGCAAAAGCATACTCAGTTTGCAGGAAACTCAATACAACAAACAGTCTTGAAATATCTTACTACAGCTAGCCTTTCAGGCAAGACAAGCAGAAAAATCCTGATCAGTAAATTCTGGTAGCACCTATGTGACATGCAGCAACCCACTCAGCACTATCAAGCCCAGAATGAGAACTTTATGCATCAGGTAATCTTCAACTGAGTGCTGAAGTGATTAGTTAATGAGCAACTGAATCTACATTCTGTAGTTACACTTAAATTGTAAGGAGCAATTCTACCTGCAGCGATATGGGTGAGGGGAAAGTCTGTGTGTCCTACAGCCCCATAAATGAGAGCAGTATAGACCCCAAGTAACTAAAAGCTCTTGAGCTGTCTTTTGACTTATACTACAAGTTCTCAGTTTTATATCATGAACCAAAGTTTATGCATTCCTTGTTCATGTTCTCACAAAATTTCAGTCACTACCTAAAGAATCTTTCTGGGATATAAACTGCCTAGGTATTACAGCAGGTGCACTGAGGGCAAAACAGTGAAGTATTCAGCCAGAGAAGTGTGAAATTTGCAGAGAAAGACTGGGACATCAGGAATCAGTGCTGATTCAGGCCTTTAGTATTTGGCATTTTGTACTCTTCCAGCATCTTCAGGAAGATTAAAATTATTTTAGGCCTTGCATACGGAGGCCTGTATCAATTTTCATCCATTTTACAAAACTTGGTGTTCTGCCAGAGCCTCTGTCCAACAGCTCTTGTTTAACCAGAAAAGCAGTTCAATATATGCTTAACTTGGAAGCCAAATGGTTGTGTGCACACATACTATTAAGTATATACAGCTGTAATTAAATCACCAGCTTTTCAGAAGTGCTCAAAATAGATCATCTCCAGCTGACAAAGACAGCAACTAACTCTCTCTCAGAGCAGTTTCTCTTCTGGGCGTATTCCAAAATCCTCTGCCATGACATAACACAGGTATCATTTGGCACCTGGTTCCAGATTGTATTTCTGTCCTCTAGAAGGTCTCTCTTCCATTTTACAAAGATGTAGAGAAAACCAGTATGTTTTGCCTACTATTAGTGATTAAGTCAACACATTTATGGTATTTTCTTGCATAATAAAAGTATGTTTGTGCTTCACAACAGCCAGACCTAATTATCTCACAACAGAGGTAGACTTCATTACAACGATGTAATTATTTTGTACACATTAAAGCAGTACTGAGTTTAATGCTATCCATTCCCTCACCCAACTAAAAGGTTCATCTCCACAAAGAAAAACATTGTATTAGTGAGTGTCTAAAAACCAAAATAAGCAGTCTGCAGCAAAAAATCTTAAGGTTTCCAGTAGAGTTCAGCACTGAACAGCAAGCCTGCATGGAATTGTAGCAGCACACGATTTTACAAACACATGCAGTACCAAATATTTAACGTCATCTTCCTGCCTAATTTTAAAAGGAAGCACTTTTCAAGTGCATACACCATGATATGGCAAATGTTACTAAAAAGAAAAATATTGAGTCTGATTCCTCTTCCATTTGTATTTCACAAATTCATAAGTCAAAAAAATCCATGGAGTTAAACTGGTAAAAATGGGCCTTAGGTAAGATGAGACTCCAGCTCAGTTTCGGTTTCAGAACTGTCATTGGGTCTTTCGCATCTCTGACCACTAAGTCACCTCTTTTCGGAGAGCTAACCTGCTAAACATAGCTGTGCGTAAGGAAGAAACAAAAGTTTAGCAAACTATCTTTGTGCAAATAGTGGAGCCAATAAGAGGGCTTTCCTGACTGTGTTGCAAGAATGCCTCTGAATGTCTCTGCAGCATTCTCCTGAACCTCCAGTAGTTTGTTTTAAAAGTTTGAGGCTCATTTTCATTTCCGTTTGTATACCTGTTTCTAACCACACACCCTGCTGAGCAAAAAACCCCTAAGTGAATACTAAATAAAGTGGAATGGGTGTGTTTCAGTTAGTCAATTTACCTTAAAGAAAACTGTGAAATACTGCATAAGCCTTAGCTTTGTTTCACTGCAGCAAAATACAAATAACCCACTGGTTACATGTTTTTCCTCCTGTGAATGTCCTTATTGTACCAAGATGTTTTAATAAAAATTCTCTGACACAAACAAGGAAGCAGGAGTTGAATATACTTTTCCAGTACTTAACTACATGAGTGAAAGCACAAAGACATTTAGGGCTAAATATTTTATTATCTATGTAGTAACACAAAACCACTAAAAACTACAATTACAAAAGTTCCATTGCATATGTGAGACTCAGAACACATGAGGGTAAGAACATCCTAATCTAGGCCCATCATCCCCTCTATAGCACGGTCCAATTGGTTGCTCCCTAAATCTAAATCTGTGATTTAGAAATAACTGAAGTATCACTTGTTCCTAGAATAGTTGAAAGAATCAAAGTACTCAAAAGCCAATAAGCAAGACTTTAAGAGCAAACTGCCTGCTTTTCACCAGGTCCTGATGTTCACAAAGCCTGTAGTAAATATACTTAACAGAGAGTATGTTCCATAGACAAGATCATTGTACTGAGACCTTCCCGCTCATGAGTGCAATGCTAAGGCAACAGGAAGAACACCAAGGTTGTCTCAACTGAACTGAATTTCGCAAGAAAGAAAAGTTAGTTTTTCTAGGTCTAAGAGGCCTTTATTTCATAAGCACTGTCTTTATTTCATAAGCAGGTTCCAACTTTATCACCTAGCGTACAATGTGAAATGAATCAGAAGTGAATCACAGAGCACTGACATCACATGATCAGTGACTAAGCTACTAAGAACATGAATAACTTCTTGTAAACTCCCTGAAGTCTTCCAGTGGTTATCAAAAAGTAGCACCAAAACCAATGCAATGCAAGAAAGCATCAAGCAATTGCCAGGCAGTCTTATTAAGTGCAAAGCTGAAAGTCGTGGGTTGCTATACCGATGTGCTACATAGAATTCTTCAAGATTTCTGCAAAGTGTTTTTCTTCTGGGGGCTTAAAGAAGATGGTGTGGGGATGGCGTTATGAACATCTGCAAAGATTATTAAAGCAGCATGTGATTTGAAAACTGGGGGAACTGATGTTCTTAAGGTCTTAAGGTGTCAAAGGCCTTGATGAAACAGACATGTATGAAATATGGAGGTACATGTGGGAGTACATGTTAGGGTTTAGTGACTTAACTGAAACAGCCATAAGTCAATATCTCTGCCCCACATGCAAGGTGTAGTACTACGAAA